GGTAAAAACTATGCATTTCAACAAATGCGGTAAAAAACTTATTCCGGTATATCTTAGTAAAGATTTGATTTAGCGTGCTTTTCTGGATGAATTTTGTCCACCAATCACCGTTTCGGAATGCTGTACTGCTCGCTTCGATTGCCCATCCATATACATATTGGAAGTGCGGTTGCTTCCTGATGGCTCTTTGCCTTTCCCATATAGACCAACACCACAGTTTCTTCGCTTTACTCGATACCCTCGTTTTGGCCAGCAGCACGATGTTCCAGAGCGTGATGAAACAACCAATACTTCAGTAACCAGAGTTCGAATGTTAAGTGGTAAATTTTTACGTTTATACCATTTTTTCTGCCATATTAAAAAGAATATTTAAGTAAATTGGCATCACAAATATCCCAAAAGTGGGAATAATATGATTCTGCCTAACAGAATAAATGCACTACTATTTTGATAATACATCAAGAATTCTGTTGAATAAATGCAAGTCTTCTGGTACTATTATCTATTTCACATGAACTTTGCTGATGTTTCACATTTATTGCGTGTCGGATTTTAAATACTGCTCGTTGTTAATTTTCTATAATTACTTGACATTTTTTCCAGTTTTAGATATTGATTGGCAAAAAATCGAACATACATTTTCGAATTACCCTCCAGGCATTCGTTACGTATTATTTCAACACAGCGGGAAGGATCAGCAATTTTGGGCGGGGCATTATGGTTCAAAAATGGCTAAAGCATCGGTTATTATAAATTATGGTAATGGAGAGCGGAGATGTGTAACATAATGGGCATAATTTCCTTCGGTTATTGTAAATTATGGTAATGGAGAGCGGCGATGTATACTTTGATAAAAAAATTTTCAATGGTTTGATGAAGGTTCGACTTGAATTTTGTGTAATTTAAAGTTTTTTATTTGCTATACTATATTTATTTTTATTGTTTATTGATCTGAATAATGTTCTGCTTATTTAGCTTGCTTTTGAACATAATTTTTATTCGCTGTACTATATTTATTATATTTATTTTTTTATTTGCCATACTATATTTTTTTAATTGTGTATTGGTCTGAATAATGTTTTGCCTATTTGACTTGCTCCTGAACACAGTGTCTATACATGTTATCATTTTCTTCATTTTTTGCTTGCTTTTTCTGTCTTTGTTTCACTTCAGTTACTTTCACCACTTCTTTATGATGAGAACTATCATCGCAATCATCTAAAATTATGCCATTCCTTCTTTTTTGAATAAGTTATACTTTGTATTTACTTGATTTCTTTACCAGTACTTTATGACAGTAATTTGAAACAATACTGGTTTTTTCCCTCAAACTTTTTAACCGTTAAGACTTGAATCGTTTTGTTGTTTGATATTTTGAAGAAAAACAATTAATCCGTTTTATTTCTAATATATTTATTATTAGTCTTCAATTCATATGCTGTGATGTGTGTTTTTTTTACCAGAAATTAGTTCCTTGTAATGCTATTTTTTGCCTACTTTTAACCATCAATACATTCCTGTTAATTTCCATCTAGTGTTTATTTGCAGAATTTTTGCTAGCATTGATTGTTTGTTCAATTTCATCAAATCTTCAAATGTGTTCATATCATTTTAATAGATTAAGGAAGGCTTCAGGATTATTGGAATCAATTTATTGTTTATTGAAATTTTTTTCATTTTTTTGTAGCAAAATATATACTCTGTGAGTCATATAATGTGTTTATTTATACTTATGCTCTGTGCACATCTATTTAGCCATCCAACGAAACCCATCCACTCATATTCCCTTCTTTTTACCTAGCCTGTTTGAGAAGTTTGAGACACTAAATTATAGGTTGACAAGAAAAAAGAAAGAGAAATGAAGTACTGTTAGTAGGTATAATTCGTTAGTTTCTTACATACATTTGCTTAACTAGAATGAGCTGTATTCGTAACATCATTTGCTCTGACTTATCCTAGCATTATTATTTATAATTTAGGTAATGTTTTGGACATATTAA